AGGAAGGAGGCGAACGTGTAATTTAATTGAAATTCCCCAACCGCGTCTCCACTAGCATAGCGTGGCGCAGAAATTGTGGAAAAATCGAGTCACACGATCGTCGGGGCTGCGTGAAAATGGAATTAGAACGGAGAAACGAAGTTTGCCCGATGACGCAGGTGAGTGCCAGTTTTTCGCGAGGGATCGGAGCAACAGACACGGCGGAAAGAGTTGAAAGAGGGGGAGGGGGCAGGTTCGTCAGTCTGCGATCCGAACTCCGGGAAAGAGACGAGGGTTTGTCGGGATGAAATTTTTTGGCATTGCAATTACTTTCAATTATAGCGCATGCGGTAGTGCATGCGCGAGTGATAGAGAGCCATCTCGTTCGATACGCGCGTACCGGCGTATCCGCGTTTTCATTGCTTGGCCTCGAGCAGCCTCTGTGCAACTCAACTGAAAAATATCCTATCTCCAGCGAACGTACGAGTTTAGTACCACATAGGCGTGCGTATACCTGTAGGTAGGTACATGCGTGCACGCAGGTATGTACGGTGTACAAATAGCTCGAGTGCACAAATCGATCGATAATCCGGCCGGTAATCGAGGAGTTTTCCGAAGCATTGCGTCGATGGCTCGTGCAGCTGGAAATATTATAGCCGGGCGGAGAATCAACCTCGACGGGACGCCGATCCGAGGGATCGCCACTTATAACGCAATTTGTTTTAATTAAAAATCGACCATGCCGACGCGGGTAAAATAAAATTATACGCGTCGATGCGCGGCGATATGCGAATTTTCGTTTGGGAAAATCCTACGTGAGATTGATAGCGATACTGTATGTATGTATGTAGCGGTATGTAGGCGTACGCGGTATATATCGTCTCGTGAGCCAGTGAGTCGCGATATTAAACGTACCGGCTCGGTGTTAATTATGAATCGATTGGAGCATACGCCTGGTCGGCTGATAGTACTCGGGGCCTCATTTCGATATGCACATTTTAATTAGCGCACCGCCGGAGAAAGAGCGATATCTCGGCGACGAGACAAACAGAAACACGGTAATTCGATTCGGAAGGTGCAAATATTTGAGAAGGTTGTAACAGGTTGTGTTACCAGAGGTTAACCAGAGGCGCGGTGGCTCGTTGCCCGGAATCGGTGCAATGAAGTGCATATAGACACTTCATCACCGCGCATCCGGAATCGCCGGAGGTCAGTTACGCGAAAATATTCCCCGTTGTAACGCATGATGTTTCGGGAAACGGGAAGGCTGCCTTCAGCCCGGAAACATGCAAACTCTGGCCACGGCCTGCTTGTTTTGCCCATCTGGACCGTCTATTTCGAGTTTACAGCGGCGCAGCCCGAATCGAAACGGAGGTCAGTTACGAGAAAATATTGACTGATCGCGCGTAATGGCACATCCGAACGTCAACAATAGAATCGTGTGCCGTACGTGTACGTACGTACGTACCTATCTACCTACCTACCTACCTACCTATCTACCTATCACGATGCCAAGCACGCGCACCTGTACACGCGTACATCCATTTACATACATGCTATATCCACGGCTATGCTATACCTAGAGGCATGCACGCGTATCCATACGTTGAAACATCCACCGCGTTATCGCGTACGAATCACGGACAGAGTCGGCTAAGCACAGAGGCAGAACGGCCTGATGTTAAAGCACGGACATATCCCGGTCCTCATCAATTGTCATTAAACGACATGATTATTGCGCGTGTTGACGATTATTGTGGCGATAGGCCGTTACCGGGATATCCAGCGAAGCCCGCGGTCTCATAATGATCGATGCTCGATACGTACTCATCGAGTATTTCGTTAATGGCCGGCACATTGTGTCGAGCCGGTGTGCACAGTCTCGCGAAAATGTCAAAAGCCCTCTCCCGCGTGTTGGCCGTTAACGAGCCGTTTCGAGGAGGAGAGCGCGTTTTATCCAAAGAGAATCCCTTTTGCTCGCGTTTTCCACGAGTGACGTTATGGCGGTTATCAGGGCATAGGCGAGTTGCGCGCACATCGATCAGTAAAGCCGCCATGTCGATAAATCGCCAACGCGGTAACGTCCAATCGGATTGTTGTCCGCGGTTCGCTGATCATTTCAATTTTTCTATGTGATTCTTACACCGGTTCGCTAATGACGTCAATTGTCCTGGGAACGATCGTTTGACGCGAGAGATGATCGTATTATCCGGTTAATCGTTACTCGGACGGAGAGATGATTTTGCGTTATCGAAACGCAACGAGCTGGAGCAGTCACGAAACAGGGCACCTGTACCTACGCGCATATTACGTCGAGTATATTACGTCGGCCACTAGAGCGTTTTCCCTTCGCTAAGATGATCCGATGATTCGCCGAAAATAATAGATTTATCATCCCCAATTGGCTTCTAGCAGTTTATTTCATGGGAGAAACCGTGGACGACCGAACGCGCCCCCCGCGTACGCCCTTCGTAACGTAACCACGCTGATATATACGCGCAAGGATTTTCTCTATGATATGCAACATGCGGGACGTAATTCAGTCGGTGCAAGTCATCGGGATCATCTACGCAGGGCTACGACGCACGGCTAACGATCCATCATTTACCGCGACAGCCACGAGTATTAGGCCAAAGTGGCGGCGTGATTCTGCTAAACGCGATGCTAAACAGGTACTGCTCCTGTCGCGAGCCTTTCCACCGTCAGTCTGAAAGGCACAATATTGCGTGCACACCGACATTTGTATCCGGATATTTTCAATATTGACGTCTACGTGACGTCTAGCAACGTTTTCCTCCTCCGTCCACGTATATTTAGATATATCGTAGAAATTTGTAGAAAGTTCTAGCAGTTTAATAAGTAAGTGAAAATTTTAGAGAGATAAAAAAAGAGGCGAGGCCGAGGTGGAACATCGACGGAAAGAATACGAGGTCGCGAGATTTATCTTTCATTTTCCAGCATGGTCGTATCTGCGATCCCGTAACGAGGGGATCCTCACTTGCAAAGACCGATTTCGGCTTATCTGGCTGGCTTATCAGCGACACGAATATTCACGCGAATTTATCGATCTGTCTGCAATCGTTTCGCCACGGCCGCTGTTCTCTCTCTCTCTCTCTCTCTCTCCAAAGCGCCAGTTTTACGCTCGTCGTCCCCGAGGAACGTGATAAGAAAAGAGAAAAGAAAGGAACGAAGGAAAGGACAAGAGAACTCACTTGGAGTCGCGTTATGAGCATGAATTTTTATATTGAGATGTTATCGTATAGCTACCGGGAAGGGAGAACAACAACGAAAAGATTCCCGACCATAATGACGTACGTCCGCGCGTACCATCGCCGATTTTTTTTTTTTATCTCTCGTCGAGTCGAACCGCGTCCTTAAAAAAGAAGAAGAAATTTACACGCGAGAGTCACGGCCGTCGAAACTTTCGTTGCTCGTGAATGAAATTTCCCCTTCTAAATTCGATAGAGGAGGTTAGAGCCGTATTACGCGAAAGACGATTCTTCGTTGGATTATGCAACACGTTTGGCAAGAATAGGCGAGTATGTGTATGCTTTTACGCGTACAGTGTCGGCTGAAAGCGAGACCACATCTTTATCATGATGATAACTTGCGACGATCATCTGCTCGTCGCGATGAAAGCATTTAATTGCTCGTTTGACTTAATTAATTGTTCCTAGCATGCGAGAAGTAATTTCTGACGTATAGAGACAGGTTATACCGCGTACGATATAAATATCGCCGCGTATGATGTTCCACGAGGTACTGCGTTTAATATGTTATACCTTTAACACAAGTTTGCGAAAGAATCTAACCTAAATCTAACCTAAACTAGTAAAAACGTAATGTAAGATTCTTAGGAAAATGCATTTGCGAAAGAACCTAACCTAAACCTAACCTAAACCAGTAAAAACGTAATGTAAGATTCTTAGGAAAATGCATTTGTAAAGTCAGACCTTAGATTAAGGTTAAGATAGAAATAGAACAGTGGAATTCTTCGTGGAGCGAAGTCGGCGAAGAAAACAATTTATAGAACTTGCCTCCTCACCTAGTTAAGTGTATTATAAATAAATTTTATAAGTCTCAAAGAGGGATCACGTTTTCACTCTCGTCTTAAATTTAAGTTTCTTAGTAGACGAAGAAGTAGAATGAGAAGTATCTCGATGTCTTTTGAAATATATTCCAAAAGCAACCGTGATCAGAAAATAGCCTATTGTTTACTTATATAAAAATATATTTCGCACTTTCACTAACGATACATCCTGATGCCACGTAAATTTCTATCCTGCAAAATCGGAAAAAAATTATGAGAAATTAAATAGAACCGAGGCAGTAAATATGATAGTGCGTGCCGTTTAAATGCGGTGTAGTGGGAAATATTCATTACACGATAAAATAATACGCGTTATATAATATATATAGTTACGAACTATCTAACTATAAAGATAGAGAGGGACATTTCCGAAGGCAGCGTGGCCGAGCGGTCTAAGGCGCTGGTTTTAGGCACCAGTCCGTAAGGGCGTGGGTTCGAATCCCACCGCTGTCATATTTCTTTTTTTTTTTTTTTTTCTTCACACTTTCACAGATCATTAACAATCATCAAAATCTAACTATCGACATATGCATGTACAAGCCAGCGATTCTTCTCGATAAACATGTTCGATACTACAGACCTATAGACAAACACATTTTGTTGAATCCAGAGAGATGATGTGAATTCTTTAACAAAGGATTATAACGATAAGTAATGAAATTTTACGTTATTTACACTTATGTTGTAGAAATTAGCGAAAGCAATGCACACAATGCAAGCTAGTGTAAGTGAATTATGTAATAACCGTGTAATAGAATAAATAGAAACGAATATCCTGTCATTTGTTGGTATCTCATTTTGAATGATTATAAACTTGTACATATTGCAAAATGTAATTTTCTGATTGAACATAGCTAACTGAAGTGGAGAAGCTCACGTAAATCTTAGCAATGAGTCAACAAAATATCGAAGACGTGACTTATTTTTATGCGTGTGATTAAAAATTTTGTTTAAAAAAGTTCAAAATTCAAAGGTCCCACCGAGATTTGAACTCGGATCGCTGGATTCAGAGTCCAGAGTG